GCACTACATCTTGTGTCAATCAAACAGCTTACTGCAACTAGGAGGTACATTGTTTGGCACAACACTGGCTTTCACCAGTTTACGATCACTTTTAAAAGAACAAAACTTCAACAGGCACAGAAAGTGGAATGGCTCAAGCTCTACGATGCTCCTGCTGTTCACGGTCACACAATTTTTTTCAATCATTTGGTTTTTATTTTTATATTATCTGTTATGCCTTTTACAAATAAAAAATCTTTTAAAAGAGTTACGCTAAAAACAAACAAAAATAATTTTGTATATTAGCCATCACTTGTCCTAATTTGTAAAGAAAAAAAACTACATCTAGCTCAGCTACTAAAAACCCAAATCAGTCAGCCTCTCCTCCAGGCGATACTCTTTTAGAGTCATATTAAGGCTAATCATCATCTGTCATAAGCTTACTAATAACGCTGCTCTAGTCTCCTTTTTTTCTCCAAGATTTAACACAATTTCACCTTATTAGCTTTTTCTGTCAGTGTGCCTTTTTATCAAGGTTATCTTCAAGTTCTAAGATCTGAAAACTGTTTCTTTTTTATTGCCGTGGATGAAGCTTGTCTGTCTTCAGGACATTTTTTAAATTTTAGTTTTATTAAACAAACCGAGGGGCAGGATAAACTTGCAGCGATTTGTAGGTTGTATTAAATGTAACTGTGTGCAGTAATTGTGCTCCTACATTTATTCTAGATTCCATAAATAGACCATGAGTATCAATTATATAGTGTGAGAAAAATCTGTTCATATGCTGCATTCTGCTCAGATGGTAGAAAACGGGGGGAATTCTTTTAGAAGTTGTACGCCAAGGCCTTTGTTGATAACACACAAACCAACACAAAGGAAATAGGACGAATATGTCAGATTATATAACTGCAGTGTGTGTGTGTATATATCAATCCAGCTAAGTCTATATACAAATATTCATGTTGTATAAGATGTAAAGTTGTGTGCTGTTTTGGGTTTTGTCGTGTTGTTGACCTCACCTCGTCCTTCATCTCTTCCACCGTCCCCGCAGTGCCGTTTCGTTCCGTGCTGGTGGATTTTGTGTTGTTTAGCTGATGTGATGTCAAATGTTGTCTTTGTAAAAGCAGAAAAAGAAGACTTGTCCTTTAGCTGGAGCAGAGCACAAAGCCAGTCAGTCGGTTAGTTTGGGCTTCTGCTGCCGTTTTCTGTCTGCGCCGTTTTCTTGCCAAACACGAAGAAAAGAATAAAGAGGTGGTGCCATACATTCATGTAGGAAGCTTTTCTGTAGCAGTGGTGCTGAAGGTCCCAGGTTTCATTTCTAGTCTGTAAAAATCACTTTTCTTTTTCATTTGGTGATTTATTATTACGTAAAAATCCAAAACTTTTGTTATCCAGCTTCCAAATCCCGAAAGGTATTTCTTTGTCACACTGCTACTGAATGAAGTCTGGCTCCATACATTTCAAGTGCAATATTTCTTCTTTTATTTTGTTTTTAAATTTAATAGTTGTACAGTATATTCCAAATGTATCGTTAATATAAGTGGGAAAAGCTGCAATAAGTTATTTTCTTATAAAGCTATAATCTGCCATATAATGATCTTGAAATGATGACAATAATAATAATAATTTGGAAGCGAAGCCATAAATCAAAACAGTTTGCTTTGTGTGAGTGTGAGACTTGACATACAAATAGTAACAGCGATAATAAAAATATTAATAAAAGATAAATGTCAAATTCTGTGCTTTTTTTTTCCTGTGGAGCTGAGTTTTAAAGAAATGGTTGTTTCTTTGTGTCGCTGTATTTCTGTCACTCTGTCTGGGAATACTCCAGTGATATTTGAGTTTTAAACTGCAATAAATTGATTTTTATGATACTGCTGTTTCCTTTTCCGTTTTGTGATAAACTGCATCTGTGTGCACAAAGCAGCCTCTGAGATCCTCTCATGCTTTAACCTGAACACCAGATGGAGACAAAAACACTCCTATTACTACTCAGGATGCAGACAAGATGTAGATTGAGGTCAGTAAAATATTAAAAATAACGACTAGTTCTTTTCTGTAGGTTAGCAGATTCTTATGCTACTTACAATTTGCATTAATTAGCCTAAAACAAGTTCATTTTTTATCTGTATTTTTTATTTTGTTCATAAGTCACCTTCGATGTTCAGCTTAATTTTCTGTTTTTAGCTTTTAATTCAATTCTCTGTTTAGTGTTTGTTGTCTTGTAGATATCTGGATTTCCTTTATGGTTATAAAAAGTTCTCATATCTTTAAGACAGCAACTAATCATCCAAAAAGAGGGGGGGTGTCGTAGGAAGTTCACTCCGAGGTCAGGCTGTGCATTTCACCATTAAACCCAACAGGCCTCAGTAAACGTGTGAAAAAGGAAATGACGGAACAGGATCAGTCTGTTTGAAAGTCGGGAGAAATTCTCTTCTTTAAAACAAACAGAACTAAATGTAAAGTTTGAGATGAAGAAGACACGACACTTCTGAAACGACCTTATAAGTGTCACATGAAAAAAAATCCAAAGTGAGCACGTATCACCACAAATACCTTATGGTCACAGGACTTGCTGTGAACTTCTTTGTCTGACAGCTGAAGTTTGGACAACATTTGGTGATCAAGGAGAACAGATGTCCTGATGCATCTCAGTAATCCAGGTAGAAAAAAAATCAAAAAGAAAAAAATAAGTAGGTCCTCTGGATGGGTTCTTCTTTAGTGAAACGTTTCGTCTCTCGTCCAAGAGACTTCTTCAGTCTGATGAGTTTCAGGTGATCTCAGCCTTATAAGCACTGCCTCCACATGGACAAACAGGTTAGTCACATGCAAAAGAGGTCCTTCGCTTAACAATAGGCTTGACTGGCTCTATTGTTCAATAGATTGTATTGAACTCTATTGAACAATAGAGCTAATCAAGCCTATTGTTAGGCAATGGCCCTCTTTTGCATGTGACTAACCTGTTTGTCCAGGTGGAGGCAGTGCTTATAAGGCTGAGTTCACCTGAAACTCGTCAGAATGAAGAAGTCTCTTGGACGAGAGACGAAACGTTTCACTAAAGAAGAACCCATCCAGAGGACCTACTGATTTTTTTCTTTTTGAAGGAGAACATACTTTTAACAAGATAAGAAATTACCAATATGATGTAATGACACAGTTTGTATTTCAAACTGATCATAAAATCTTATATTAATATGTTAACAGAGTTGTGGACAAATGAACCTCAATAAACTAAAGCAGCATTATGAAAGAACAGTGGGTCAAAATACTTCCAAAACATCCTGAGACCAACGGTTCATAAAACTAACAGTCTTTGGTGGATGTGTTTTACACACATGGTTGTTACTGACTTTGTGTCAAATGTCATCCATATTTACTCAACGGTAAGGCTTGGTGAGGATGATTTGTAAAACAAACAAAAAAAAGAAAGTTGGCTACTTATCAACACAGCTTTTAGATTTCCAACATAATTGGTGTACATATTAGGAAAATGTTGTACAATTAGGAAAATGTCACAGAAGGGGATTTCTTCAACACAAACAGCCTTCATTAAATCTGATTAAAACCACAAAGTTTTGAGTTTTTATCATTCTGAACAGCTCGGGCATCCATCTGTTTTATGAAGCCTGTGTGTAAAAGAAAAAAAAAATTGGCACAGCCTCCCAGAAAAAGAAAAAAAAATTAGTTACCATTTGAATGGCAGGAAGGCCTGAGCCATTGCTAGGTCTCAAGTGTTGTGTGAAAGGGGAATAGCTGTAAAATATATTGATGCTGAGCCCCTCTCCATTGGCAGGCCGCAGTGCGTGAACAATCTTCAGCCTGCAGAAGACGCGGGGGCCACTGCATGGCCAATCTGACACAATCAGGGTGAAACCGGCCAGAAAACACTATTCTGCCCCCCATTCTCCTCTCTCAATCGGGGGGCTTGAAAATATGCAGAATGACTGACAGAGGCTGTGTGTGTGTGTGTGTGTGTGTGTGTGTGTGTGTGTG